TTGAGGGGGAAAATAAAAAGCCAGAAACACAAGTCAAAAAAACAAAGAAAGAAAGAGAGAGAGAGAGAGAGAGAGAGAGAGAGAGAGAGAGAGAGAGAGAGAGAGAGATCCCTAGAGTAAGTATCTCAATCCAACAACAGGTCCTGCTGAGCATGAACCGTCTGCTGTGACCAGATCCCCTGAGGGTCCTTTGCTCTCCCTTGTGGGCTCATCAGAGGGTCAATACTACTTCCAGATGCCTCCACATCAAGGACAGGGATGATCCACAGACTAGAGTTGATACTTCACTCGGAAGATCTGAGAAAGTAAGAAATAAACACAGTCTACGTCCTAATGGCTGCTCTCTCCCAAGTATGTTGAAAGGAACTTAAGCTCTGTGAGAACACGAATTAAGTCTCCCATTCAGTGCTATTTCTACAAGGCCCAGGACTGCTTCAAATATGATGAGTTATCTGCAAAGCATGGTAATTATGACTTTACAATAGCTATCTTCAGGACGCACTGGGTATCTGAAAAGTGAGGCTACGAGAGGTTCAGGACAGGGCCAAGGTTAGAACTGTCCCTTGCATCTCGGCCTCTGCCTTTCTCCCCACAGTGCTTTTGATACATGGCCAGTGGCTTTCTGAGTAGTATGACTGCAGTCTTGCAGAGAGAAAAACAAAGCAATACAAAGCTCTCATCAGCACAGGCTTTTGTCAGGAACCACCAACGGGCCTCTTTTCTTCTCTTTTCTCTCTCTCTCTCCTCTCCTCTTCTTTCTTCTTCTCTCATACATTACATCCTGACCACAGTTGCCCCTCCCTCCTCTCCTCTCAATCCCTCTCCCTCACCTCCCGATCTTCTGTGTCTTAGCTGAAGTACAGAATATGACTACATACATTTGAGTCCACAGAAGTATGTATATGAAAGCAGTGACTTTTTTTTTTTTTTTTTTTTTCGAGACAGGGTTTCTCTGTGTAGCTTTGCGCCTTTCCTGGAGCTCACTTGGTAGCCCAGACTGGCCTCGAACTCACAGAGATCCGCCTGCCTCTGCCTCCCGAGTGCTGGGATTAAAGGCGTGCGCCACCATCGCCCGGCAGTGACTTTAATTGTGTGTAAATTATACTTGCATAAGCTTTTAAAAGAAGAGGTAATTTAAGGGACCCAAACTGCTCTATAACAGTCCCTCAGCATTTCTAACACAGTTAATAATTGTCATGAATAATGACAATAAGCTGCATGTTACTTGCCCTCAATAATTCCTGATAAAAATTTCTGATTAACAGAGATTTTAATACATTTCTGTAATATTAAGTTCATTAAGGTAGTGGACAGCCACAAGATCCTTAGGTTAGACTTCTTACCTGTATATCTGGACTTGAAAGAGTCAATGTAGCAAGCAGCATCATTTTCTGTAATGCCCATCTGCTCTCCTAAGGATTTCGCTCCCATCCCGTATATGATTCCATAGCAAATCTGAAAGGGAGGCGTCACACTCAGTGAGTATAAAGTGTAAGTACACAAGAGTGTTCACTAGGATTGACACCCTGGTAAACGTTTTTACTTCATAGTGAACCAAAGACATGATTAGATCAGCTTTGGTAGGTTGGATCCGCAGAAGCTGGTAGTCAGCAAACATCTGTTCTGCCTCTGAGCATTACTTTGTATGTGTGGGTGAAGACACTAGCGAATTTGAATGCGGGAAGGAAGCAGTCAAAATAGGAAGTCTGCTTTCTGTTTGTTCTTTATCCATCAGCCATTAGAGCAGGCTCATTCCTCAGAGGATCTCAGGGGTGTCTGCAAAGGAAGTGCCTAGGAGTCTTTGCACCTCTCCTTGCCCATCGATAAGAACAAACAGTTTGAGAATAGGAGAGACTTCACTGCAAAGAAATATCTACAACTCACAGCTGCCTAAAGTCTCACATTCTACAAATGCAAAATCCATCTGGGGTAACTATAAACCTAAGTAGCTTTTGGATGTGGTGGAGGGAGATGAACTACCTAGGTTAATAGTAAGTCCTGCCTGAAGTCATGCATAATCATGCCATAGCCACCTGACCTCTTTGTAGCCAAACATTTTCATCTAGAAATAAAAACAGTGTTTGGATCATGACTTGGGGGTGTTTAGAAAATTGACACAAAGCAAGCTCCATATGAATGGCAAATAAAATATTAAAAGATAACTTGCATTAAATGCTTACCAGAATTCTAAAAGCTTTTAATGTGACACACTAAAGGGACCCTATCCTCCTTTCTTAAATATTTTGTGGGGTTTTTGGCTTTGTTTGGGGATAGAATCTCACTATGTAGTTCTGGCTGGCCTGACTTACTCTGCAGACCAGACTGACCTTGAACTCAAAGGACACCCACACTGACAACATCACCACCACCATGCCTGCCTCTGCCCTGGGCTGTGAAAGTATGTGCAACCACACCTGGCCAAGAGCTTTTTACTCGAAACCTCCATTTGTTCTTCCTTTGGCCTTCAACACTGTTTTGTGTGATTCCTGACGTACTCTGCTTGTCTGCTTCAGTTCGTATTACTTAGTGCAGTCTGAGATCTCAGCAAGACTTAGGGATTGGATCACTGTTCTAGCATGTTCACTGCTGAATGAGGCAAGCACTGATGAATACAGTCACCATCCTGGATGATTGTGGATTCGGAAGTCCAACATTCTGACATTCCATACTTCTCCAGACTCAACCACTTAACACTGAGTGTAAACAATTCTCAAACTTTCTGTCTGTTCCCTGCTCCATACATAGATATAACTAATGCCCATCTCAAGAGCTGACTATGGGTCTTAACTACAGGAACATTTCACCTATTTTAGTAAGTAAGGCTTTGATCCTTGTTAACTGCAGATTCAGGAGAGGAAGAGCAGAGCGAGATTTTTAAACAGTAGGGAACAGGGGTTGGTGCTAAACTGCACTGGTAAGAGGAAGCAGTTCACATCAGCATGCCAGGCTACATCCAGGAAGAAAGTGAACCTACTACAGCAGGTCACTGGAAAATGGCATCTGATTGCCCACAGGGTGTGTGGTTAGGAAGGGCTGGTGTTAATCTAGCCAGGAAATGTGAATGTGGCCTCTGGCTCCTCTGTGCCTGACAGTGACCCTGCAAAGTGCAAGAACAGCTGCTGAACAGCTCAAGGCTCTCTTACTTATTACAATCCAATTCTATTTTCAAAAGCATTAAACTACCTTTGCTATAATGCACTTTGGCTAGATGCTATAAGAAAATAGAAAAACGAGAATATGGACCTTTCTGTCAAGATATTTACTGAGTAGAGATTTAAACACATATTCTTCCTCGTGTACAGTGACTGCCTCCACCATCCCTCTCACTTGCAGGTAAACACCCACTGTACCAGACACCATGACTAGCCACACTCGAGACTTGAACACACAGGGCTTTCTTGACACTACGTGGCCCACAGGCCGAGGTGGATCTGGTTTGTTCTACTCCATCAGGAGGCAAAACCTACAATAAATAAATACCACAGACAGACTAGCCTCCAATGCATGTGACTTGAAAGATCCAGACAGAAGTCATTCCTCAACTGAAATTAATGGATAACTTAAGATGTTGTGATCACTGAATTCTTTTCATTCTGATAAAGCGTGTCCACTAAGTTCACCTGCTTCGCTTGTTGCCTCAGCTCCTCCCCAACAGAGTCAGGCTCGATCATCTTCCACTCCGCCGCAATGCTCCTGAAAACATCAGCTCCAGTGTTCAAGACTTGAATGAGGCGAGAGTCACGTGATAGGTGGGCCAGGATCCTCAGTTCAAGCTGAGAGTAATCGGCAGCCAAAATTAAACCACCTGAAAAGCACATCTACTTTAAACAGCTAGCACAGCTCCACAGACCCCTCAGTAAGATGACAGAAACAGTTTGATAAGATCATGTGTTCAAAACTTAAAGCCTTACTTCAAATAAGATACAGTTCATTTCTGTGCATTATCATGTTTTTAAGTTTTCATTTGTATGCAGAATCTATCAAGCTGATATCTGTCTCTTGACAGTAGGGTACCTTCCTCAGTGTTCCCACAGTACCCAGCACACAGTCCACAACAGTTCTCTCATGCTTCTCCTGCTCCTTAGGGATAAGAGACTTACAGTTCCCTCTGTTCTACAGGAAAACCCTATATACAATAGGTTTGCAGAAAACATTTCATAGACTATACCCTTAAGAAATGGCTGCTGAATAAATAATTAATGGACAAATTGGTATTCAGTAAGTGTATATTAAGTGTGCTTTGGTTCACCAATAACAAAGATAGATATTCAATAAAAAAATCAAGTTACTAAGGGAGTAAGACTAGTTTCTTATGGATTACAAATAACTTGATAAGATGTGCAAGACAAAAAACAAAATATGGTCAAAGTTCAAAAACATACTCTAACTGCTAGCACAAAGGACAAGTAGCAATAAATCAATAACTGACTTGATATTATAAAAAGCATAGCTATAAAACAATAACAGACTTTATATTATAAAAAATATAGCTATAAACCAATAACAGACTTTATAAGTAAGTTCACTAAAATAATAAAGACAGAAGAATCTCAAATATAATAAGAATGCTGAATTTCACTCATAATAAGCGGAATAGAAATTAAACCTATAGCAAGAAATAAATTTTCCTCACTTAAAATGGTAGCATCCAGAAGTTTGTACAACACATTCAGGCAAGTGTGCAAGAGACACTAGGATGCTCTTCCTGGGAAGCAAAAGGGCAGCCTTCTGCCCACAAGGCAGAATCAGAGACTGTCAAAATTAAGCTGTTTGTAGTCTGTGACTCAGCAAACAAACTCAGGTTATGGTGCAAACTGAGCACACACAGGTTAAACTGGCCATAGCTCCATCTCTTGTTTTGTTTTGAGACAAAGTCTCACTATGTAACTATGGTTGGCCTAGAACTCACAGATCTCTCTGCCTCTGTTGGGACTAAAGGTGTGGCTACCACATCCATCTACTCCCATTTCTTTACTGATAAGCACAGTCTTTAATATAAAAATGTTAGCTGAAAAGTCCAAACATAGAAGTATATACAGAATGATAATTCTTAGATAAAAGTCAAAAGATTACATAGCCAAAGGTATACATATTTGCAGAAGGAATATTAGCAAATGCATACTAGTTCTTTTGTGAAATAACTGTTTTAGAAGTTAAAGAGCAGGCGATGAAGAACTGTCACTGAGAAGGGAGGTAAAGAGGTAAGCAGCTGTGAAGCTTCTGAATGCTAGCACTTCCAGAAAACCCTGCAGGATGGGGTGTTCCCTCTGATCTCAGGAGACTGATACTAGAGCTGAGCCTGTCAGGCAGCTAGACTGGTAAGAACTTAGGAAGGACATGCATAGAATGAGCACAGGAAGCCCTTTGCAGCTAATGTAGGTTACAAACATGTCTATCCTTCTTAAAAAAAAAAAAAAAATGAACCTGCTGTGTCCATGGAGATGCAAGTAATTTTTTAAAAGGTGTTTTTAGTACTGAATTTGTGAAGGCAATATGAAGGCCAAGACTTGACTTTACAGACTCCATCTTAGGGAAAGGCCACCATCTTAGGCCATCTGGTGACCAAGGGCTAAGCTCAGTTCCAGGAAGAACCTCAGGAATGTGCTGTGACAATGAAATCTGAACAGATACCCTAGAAGCAGCCAATTAAGAAACAGGGCAGTAAAATTTAACAAGATCCAGATGCTCCTGCAGACATCCTGTTAGCAGTTTATGGCCCTTGCTGATAAACAGACATCCTGTCAGCAGGTTGTGGTTTTGCACCCAAAGTTTAACCAATAGTTTCAAAAAATCACCTTGCCCCCATATCCCTTTACCCAATCCTAAAATGCCAAGGCATGTAACTCCTGGCTTGTGGTTTTTTCCTTTAAAAACTCTCCCATCCAAGCCCACCACCACATTTCCCTCCATCCACTGCATTAGAGCATAGGGTGGCGGTCCAGGTTCAAACATGACAATAAAAAGACCCTTGTATGCTTGAATCAGAAACCCACTCCTTGGTGGTCTCTGGGGGGTTTCACAACATGGGCACAATTTAGTTGCCAGAAGTTAAAAAAATGCTTGAAACAATTTCAGCATGTGAGTCTGCTTTAAGTGTATATTTTATGAACTCTAAACAAATATCAAGCACTCAGAGACTTGTGCTTGGATTCCTCTGGAGACAGGTGTCTCTATGTGACCAGAGAGACCTGGGGAGCCTCCGCATGGGAGCCTCACGGACCAATGTGCTCACCATACTCTCCTGCCACACCACACAATTACTTTTAGCAAAGGCCTTCTGTGCTCTGCAGGATGTAGTGAGAACTTTCATATACTGTAACTTGGGAAATTTACAATGTGGCTACTAGGAAACTTCAGATTCTGAGCATGCTCCACACTACATTCCTATTGTGCAGCGCATCTTTGAAATCCAGCATGCTCTTTCCTCTGCGCCTAAAGGAGACAGTGAGGCCTGTGGAACTCTCACTGCTTCCCTGGGTTAGACTGAACTTCTCATGCTGACTGTTGTCAGGAAAGTTAGCTCACCAGACTGTGAGCTCATCATGGAAGGGAAGTTCTAATAGAACTTAATCTCACTTACCAGGACTACCCACTGGCAAGAGATAAAGAGAAAATGGGCACAGCAATCATGGGGCAATTAAGAGTTAGGTTACAACCTCCAGGTGTTTTTGATGACACACAGGTATGACTTAGGGCTGCAGCTGTCCTGGCAGCCACTCACACAACAGGAAGCAAGCAGACATGAATAGCAGCGAGAAATACAGGGACCAACAAGTCCTAAACAGGGACCCAAAACTCTGCTCTTCCTGGTCCATGGAGGAAAGCAGAGAAAGAGAATTCTCTAACCACAGAACCCCATAGAGAAGCAAAGGCAAAGAGGCAGACAGATTCAATGACATTCTGCAGAAGTTTCCAAACAGTATCAGCACACAGCAGCTGCTGAGGTATGCCAGCATCCAGTGCAGGAAAGATGGAGGACATAATGCACACTTCTGAATCCTACTCCTAATTCAGGACTTCTCAGTGCCTTTTAAAACACAAGGAGCTCACCTCACCTGGGAAAGGCACAAAGGCATGGCGCATGCTCACTGAAAATGGCAGTCCTCTATCTGAGGCCTTCTCTTCCATCAGTGTCCCAGCCCCAGGGTGCAGGCCATACAACTTCTTATTCTGTCCTCTGCAGTACAAATAAAATCATCAGCTAGAACATGACGAATCTCAGATACATAGAAGGTCTGATTTCCAATAAAAAAAGTATTTCCATCTAAAAAACCTAAAATGACCTAACCTGAAACCTACTTAAAAGTTGAAGATATTAGACCTCTCTTAGCAAACGTTCAGTAACACATGAAGGCCCTTCTGTAATTACCTTCCACAAACTGCTTCTCAGATAATCCACCCCAACCCCCATTTAACTCCACAAATCTCTAACCAGACCTAAGGTAAACTGTCTAGCTGCTCCCTCTTACCAAGTATATATGGGGGCAGGGTGTTGCTGGCATGGCTAGCCTCTGACTTCCATATCTGTCTTAAAGAGTAGCTTGCAGCAGATCTACCACATTTTGCCATTGATCAGCCTCATCACAGAATTTGAACAGGATAATGTCTAGAGCCAAATGGTATGTCTAGACTATAAACTTAAATGTGCTGCATTGTTTTATACAACAGGGTCTTTTCCAGCCATTGCGCTCACACACGAAAGGATAGTATCAGTACAGAAATAGTCTACCTGGCCACTGGAAGCAGGCTTTTGCCTGGAGCTTGAGAAGGTGGGCTTTCCCTTACTAGGGTTGGCATTTTAATCTCAAAATCTCTTGGCACATTCTGGATATTAGGTTCTGTGAAGGTTATCCGTCCTAAAATCAAGAAGAAAAAGATTAGAAAAATAAACCTGACAATCAACCAATTGACAGTTTTTGTAGCTCAGAATGATCTTTCTTAAATTCAGCTGGGGGCTGGCAGGATGGTTCGGTGGGCAAGAGCACTTGCTTCCTAGCCTGACAACCCAAGGTAAACTCAGGAACCCACACAGTAGGAGACAACTGACTCCCACAAATGTGACATGAAACACATGCATGCATAATGCACACACACACTAAATAAATGTAATAAAAAGATTTTTTTAATGCGCTTGATAATGCTGAAGTGGCTTATATTTAGAATTTTAACATATTCATCTGATTAACAGCGGTAAAATGAACACAAGGTCATTCTGAATGGACTCAGCTACAATATCATGTTCTTCACTGAGCTAGTTCTCTAGAAACGATGAGGTGACAGGAGGCACCCTGGGACCACAGAAGGAAGGCCAAGGCAGCATGACACAGGGAGCAGACACGAACCTCAGGGGACACGGCTGCCTGGCAGCTGGGATGGGGGCACAAGACAGAACACCTGGAACAGAGCAGCTGGACACTGACAAGGACAGCTGGGACCAAGAAGGAGATCTCCTCCAGTGAGGGGCCGCCATAGAGCGTCAGTTCACCTCACCTCAACATCGTTAGTCAAGAGTCAACACTGGTGATGGGATGGCCAAACACCCTAATTGTCCTAGAAACCCCATCCAATGACTGAGGGAACTGGATGCAGAGATCCACAGCTAGGCCCCCGGGGGGAGCTCCGGGAGTCCAATTGGCGAGAAAGAGGAGGGTTTATATGAGCGAGAATTGTTGAAACCAAGGTGGATAAAGCACAGGGACAAATAGCCAAACGAAAGGAAACACATGAACTATGAACCAACAGCTGAGGGGCCCCCAACTGGATCAGGCCCTCTGAATAGGTGAGACAGTCGATTGGCTTGATCTGTTTGGGAGGCAACTAGGCAGTGGTACCGGGTCCTGCGCTCATTGCATGAGTTGGCTGTTTGGAACCTGAGGCTTATGCAGGGTCGCTTGGCTCAGCCTGGGAGGAGGGGACTGGACCTGCCTGGACTGAATCTATCAGGTCGATCTCAGTCCTCCCGGAGGCTTTGCCCTGGAGGAGGTGGGAATGGAGGGTGGGCTGGGGGGAAGGGGAGGGGGCTGGGAGTGGAGAGAACAAGGGAATCTGTGGCCGATATGTAGAACTAAATTATATTGTAAAATAAAATTAAATTAAATTAAAAAAAAAAAAAAGAGTCAACAACCGCACTGACAGGGCTGGAAGCTAGAACCAGATACATGATCAGTTTTCTAGTAGAAACTATTTTAAAGTAGTTTCTATAAAGCATTATATTTCTTATAAGACCTTTATTCCATGTTATTTTACATTTTTTGAATCTATTTGAAGCATATGAACTTTTTTTTCAAAACACCACTCTGGGGAATTGTTCTCGAAATTCTTGCTTTATGATAATTCTTCATGGCAACTGGCTCTCTAGGAATCACTACATATAACTTCACCTTCCAACGAATCAAATATTTTAAATGACTTGGACATTATTTTCCTAAATATAATCCTCGCTTGAGATCTTTATTATTTAGCTTATAGCAAAAAGTATTTAATTCATAGCAGCTTTAACATAATTTTCATTAAATGGCTCATTCCAAGTTACCAAGGAACATACAGCTGAAGGAGGCAATCTTCCCTCCTCAGCACACTCTTCCCTCCTCAGCACACTCTTCCCACACACTCCTCAGCACACTCTTCCCACACACTCCTCAGCACACTCTTCCCACACACTCCTCAGCACACACTCTTCCCACACACTCCTCAGCACACACTCTTCCCACACACTCCTCAGCACACACTCCTCAGCACACACTCTCTTCCCACACACTCCTCAGCACACACTCCTCAGCACACACTCTCTTCCCACACACTCCTCAGCACACACTCTTCCCACACACTCCTCAGTACACACTCACTTCCCACACACTCCTCAGCACACACTCCTC